ATCTTTTTAGATACTTTTTTTGTCCTACTACCTTATATGTTTTCTCAATCCTTCTAGTATCCCGGTTTAAAAGTCAAAGGCCTCATTTGCACTCTAAAGCGTTTATACCTAGTCCAGATAGAGTGAGAATGTGCCGCGCGATTACCCCAGTCGGATTCGGTTTCTTGAAAATATGAAAATATCACCAAAATCGGTAAGTGATGTTTTAAAAAGTTTCGCGACTCTTCTAGGGAAACCACCCTTATTTTTCTCTCAAGCATCGCGATAATCCGCTCTTGTATCGTCTCCTTCTTTTTTTAGTGTTTTCTCTTTTTTTTTTTATTTATTCACATGTTTCTCAAACGATTTTGCTTTGTTCGAATTTGCATCCTTTCTCTTCTCACCTTGTTCTTGTCTATTGCTATTGAGTTTAATAGTTTTGGGTCGTGCAAAATCTACAAACAGATGATATGTATTATAGAAGTATGAAATCCAGATACGTCTCTGTCACTGCTTATCGCGTGCCCGAGTTACAGTAGATTCCATTTTAAACGGGGTTGTATCTGTCAGGCAGAAGAAAGATCAGGGATGCATTTACTGGCAGCCGCCATTCAGGAACCTCAAGCAGTTTCGACCCTGTGACTGCGAGGATAGGGGATGATCGACAAACGTGACAAGTCACTCCATAGAAATAGTGCAGGCAATTCATAACACGATAAACACTAAACTATGTTCACGGCTGCTACTATCAACCACTTTCATGAAACTAACAACTCCTGAAATTTTTCAAGATACAAACGAGAATCTACTACCGCGAGAAACTTGACGAGAGGCTATTTTACAAAGCTCGTTTCGCTTCGCTATCCAGAGCTTCCCCTTGATAAGGGTGGGAAACCAGAATACCATGATCTATCGCAACACACAAGGCTCTATCCGTTTAGCATATGTATGCTGTACGCCATTGGAATTGACGTATTTTACATTCACACTCCTGCAATCGATATCTAAAAAGATAAACAGCCATTCCCTATCCTAAATCCTTCTTTCAAGTACATACTGTTAAAACATTGTTATAGAAACTGTATAAAAGCTTCAAAAACCTTTTACTGTATTTATAATTCTAGTCACGACATGCATATTTCATAGTTTTAATAAACTATACCGTTTAGCTACATATCTATATGAAATTTATCAAAAAAATGTTAAAATATTCTAGCAATTTTGCACTGTTCCATGTAATTTTTATTTTAATAAATAATTGGTTAACTGGTTTTTTTTTTAAAAGAGCGTAGATATTTCATAAAGGAACCGGATCAGCGTTATCCCTATGATACTGTATATGCATTTGTCTAATATACATCTGACATACATTACTCCCTAGTACAATAATAGTATTCTAAGACTATCATGTTTGTTATTAGGCTTTTACCATGGTTATTTTTGACAAGTTATTGCTAATATGCTCTATACAGGAAGTTGACGTTGGTTTTGACTTTGAAGACTGGCATAATGAACGCAAATTTATATCAAGTAAAGCACGGTACTCGTACCCCAAGTAGTACTCGATAAGGAATCACCTAAATTTTTATTAATTATTAAATGACCATTAAATCATGGTCAAATACGAAAAGCAGCATTAAAATAAAAAAGTAGCGAAGACGTTATAGGAAATTTTGAAAATACAATTAAAATGATGGGCTAGTGCTAGATCATACAATAAGCAGATATGTAGTGATTTATGTACTTGGCAATAATAATATGATTTCAATACTATTTTTTATAGGAATCCACAGTACTCCTGCACGTGGCATAGTTTTTTACACGTAAGTGTTTTTTGGGGAGGATACGTTAATCCCCAGCGCAACGAAAGGTAAGTAACGTTCATTTATATACATATACAGAGTATATCAGCCCAGATGCACGTTTAAGATTTGCGGTGAAACATTTTCGAAAATCTGATGTCACAATCATTGAATATTTTTTGATTGCGCATCGAATCGGCATATTATTATTGTTCGGTTAACTTCCGGTCGCAAATAAAAAAAATTATCTTAGCCATTTCAAATGATATTGAAAAAAGTTAAATGCAAAAGTTGTAGAGCAAGACAAAATAAAAGAGATGAAAAAAAAATTCGGACGGATTGCACACATAATAAGAGAGATATTTGCGTCCAAAATTTTCTCATTTTTTGACAAATTCTTGATACTGGAGGAACGCCTTAGCTTCGTGCAGCAGCTTCACGCCGAACTCACGATTCGCAATTGTTTTGAGGTAAGCGTTCAGTCGGACGCAAACCCGTACAAGGTGGCTAAAACATACTACAATGTTATTTTTCATTACATGTTAGAAGCCGAAGTATTCCTGCTGTAAATTTCCGTGATCCCGGATGTAGATTTTGGACCCTTCGTGTTCCTCGCCGTAGATTTTGGAGTCTTGGTGGTTCTCGCCGTAGACTCCACAATCTACGGCGAGGAACATGAAGACTCCAAAATCTACGGCGAGGAACACGAAGGGTCGAAAATCCAGGTCCAGGAAGACGAAGACTCCAAAATCTACATCCGGGATCACGGAAATCTACAGCAGAAATACTTTGGCTTCTAACTTGTAATGAAAGATAGCATTGTAATATGTTTTAGCCACCTTGTACGGGTTTGCGTCTGACTGAACGCTTACCTCAAAACAATTGCGAATCGTGAGTTCGGCGTGAAGCTGCTGCACGAAGCTAAGGCGTTCCTCCAGTATCAAGAATTTGTCAAAAAATGAGAAAATTTCGGACGCAAATATCTCTCTTATTATGTGTGCAATCCGTCCGAATTTTTTCTTCATCTCTATTATTTTTTCTTGCTCTACAACTTTTGCATTTAACTTTTTTCAATATCATTTGAAATGGCTAAGATTATTTTTTTTATTTGCGAACGGAAGTTAACCGAACAATAATAATATGCCCATTCGATGCGCAATAAAAAAATATTCAATGGTTGTGACATCAGATTTTCGAAATTGTGCACCGTTTCACCGCAAATCTCAAACGTGCATCTGGGCTGATACACTCTGTATGTATATAAAAATTCAGGAAAAAAAATTAAGTTCCACTTGAGAAAAGCATATGTGATACAACAGTCCGCTGTGAATATTGATTGGAAATCTATGCCAATCGATTGGTGCCATCGTAATGCACGAACTAATTTTCAAGCTTTGCAATATTCGCCATGATGATTTGTAGCTTGATATATTATAGAACGAAAATTGTCGCCTCGATAAGGTACAAGTTCGATAAAGGGTTAAGGAGTAAATGTCCTAACCAAGTTAGACGTTTCTTTTTCCATATCTTTTTTCCCTCTCTTCTATTTCCTGACCATTGACCTTTTATCAACGAGGTCAGAGAATGTGCCGACACTGATGTTCAAAGTTAATTCTCGCTTCTACCAGAGGACGGAAATTTCCGCGTGAAGCCGTCATTCGAAAGCATTCCGATTGCCGAAGTTCGTCTTCCGTTTAAGACGTCGCAATTTCCGGGTGCGCCGAGGACGACTCGAGTTTCCACGACGCTCAAGCGTTGGACTTTCTTATCGGCAATACCCCAAAGCGTCTTCCGGTTCTCCTTCTTGATAAATACGTTCAATTAAACTTTGTCCCTGGGATTTAAATAATAATAACATCAGCCTCGTAGTTCCTCGAAACGATTCCCATTTTTTCTTAACTATACACCTGACGTCTTGTCGTCGCGACGGTTTTGAGGGATGAGAGTTTCCTGCATCAAGTAAACCGACGTCGCGACGCTCTATCTCTATAGATATATCTATTACTTGGTAACATCTGCTATACGGAATTGTCAATAAAAGTAAAATGGAATATTTCAAACCCACTTTCACGTAATGGCTGATGGCATTTTGTATTTATTTCATTCCTTTTTTTTTGGAAAATTCAAATTTTATCCTTTTCATGTTGCATAAGAAAAAAGTATCACGTAATTCAGAATCAATCATTCTATGACTTTAACAAACTCGTAGCTCCGTATCTCGTAAGTCAACATATACATGTCCATATATTAAGTGTCACGTGAATAAATGTAATAAAAAAGAACAGCAACAGACAATACAGGACACAATCACTAAAAAAATAACAGATTCGTTATTTTGCATAACGTCTACACACAGAAAGCTCGCTTTTACCGTCTTCTCTGCATTGTACACTAAAGGCGCAAACTGATTCAATCTGTTGTCTTATTGTAAGCAACTGAAACCAGTTATAACTGGTTATAGACTATCGGTGGTGAATCAGCATACTATTTGTGAATTTTCGCCTTCCGGAAGCAATCTACGTTTACTGTAACACGATGAATTCTAATTTCCCTCTAAGATTACATGATCAAGAACTAGGTATATAATATATCCTGCTATGGCGTGTAGAAAGGATTTCACTTCAAGTATCACGACAGCCCTTATAACACAATGCAAAGATCACAATGAGGCAGCCCACATTCCCACGTAAACATGCCACTCGTACTGATCAACGTCACGAACTTTTGATCAACTGAAATCGTTTCGTTTCCCTTGTTGCCATACCATAAATGCGCTTCATTTTATGGTATACTATGCTAAAAGATTACTACTTGACAAAAAGTTTTCACCGACAAACACCATTCCCTATCGCTCGTATTTGTCACAAATGTCATATACGCTGAAAAAAGACATAACGTTTATAAATTTTTCCAAATAACTTAGACAACTCGTATGACTCATGCGGACAGTTTTTGAAATTATTTTTGAAAAATATCCAAAATTTTTGTCTTTTTCAGCTGACTCATCCAACTCGCGTGGACGTAGTCGGTTTACTGAAATTGGAAGTGGATTAATTTCGTTTTATTATTATCAGGCAGCTAAAACCTACAGAAACTATGTATAGGGCAATGGGATGGAGTAACGAATGAGTATCTATGAGAATAAAAAAAGAAAGATATAATAACGTAGGAAAAAATAAAATGGAAGGGATAGGAAAAGGTTCCTCTATATACGTTTACCTTGCTTCTGTTTCTGGGTGCGAAGTCTTCCTTGCTGGCCTTCCGCCTCTTATCCTTCAATATCATCCTGGCAGCTGCGAACGCCATCTTGCTTTCTCTTTTTATATGGTTATATGTGTGTATATATATATATATCACTTCCAAACGAGATCCTACTAATCTAATTATTGCTTATCGTGCTGTTGAAAGCAACGTCTTGATTGCGAGACGTTACTTCGTAAATCACTCGATTTTTTATAGTTTCATTTATACTCGATCACTTCAAACCGATTCAAAGATCCTCCACCCGTTAATCGTAATTGCAATATGTAATAAAGAAGGATAATTTTAGATAATCGTACCGAATCGATAATCGAATCCTTGATTGAACACTATCGATTAATATCGCGCTGTTTATCGACAATGGCGCGACCGATCGTACAAAGACCGATCAGAGTGGCCCATGTACGCGCATGATAAATTTGATAAAATATTATACTAGTTGCTAATCACAGGGATGCATATTTAATTAAATTGACCAAATGTTACGCTTTCTTTTTCTGTCACTTATTTTTTTTCCCCTCGTCAATTTACTAGTCGACCGTAAATTCTTGCACTCGGGGCCAATCAGGTTGGCATCTTCGTCAATCACTGTATCCCGAGCTTCGACATGTTTTCTTTGATGTTGCTGGTGGTTCTCCCTATCACGTAACCGACTACACCCCAGCTGCTGGAAATCCTGATTGCGTCGACATCTCGTTCCACAGTGTAATTGACGGCTATTGAGATATGGCCCTGGATCTATAAGAGAAATCAGATCTATCGTCACATGATAATACCTAACCTAACCTAACCTACCATTATGAATGTATTTAACATCCCTTAATGGTATTATCATATGTAATATTGTTACCATGTGGACATACAACTTTTTTAAGATTATCAATATAATTTGAGCATCCTTCTTCCCTTGCTGTCTCCATCATTTTGCACTCTGTTCTTTTTTCGCTTTCAGCTAATAAATAAACTCAGTTCTCCCTCACTCTTTTCTCACACACACACACACACACACACACACACACGCACGCACGCACGCACGCACGCACACACACGCGCGCGCGCGCGCGCGCGCACACACACACACACACACACACCTTCACGAGGGTTAATATATCCGGTTGTGAGCACAACCCATTGTCAGGTACGTCAGGTTCCAGCTTGGCAGGAAACTTCCCTAATTGAATTCGTTCGGCCTTAACGCCTCTCTATAGTCACGCGAACAGTTACGAAGGGACAGACCGGTTGCAATTTAGGTATACCGAGTAAAGTACCATTTTGCCTTTTCGACATTCTTTCTAAAATGGTCCAGTGAGATTAAAATCGTATTTCACCTTTCTGTGAATATATTCAAATTCAAATGAAGCTTATCTTTAAGACTTGTGCTTGGGATTCTGGGTAAATATGACGGAACGGTTTCTAGGATAGAACACCGTCGTCCGGAAATCGACAACTGAAGAAGCTTCGAATGTATATATGTACGTATGTGCTTTGAGTCCTGAAGAATATAAGTCTGGTCGGTTGGTATGTTCGTTGCTTTGTAACTCCCGACCCTCTAATTCGTCTAGAATACAAGTTTACTATGAGATGAAAGTACAGACTGGAAAGTTTTCACTGTGGGCTGCAGTTGGCTTATAACAATTACATTTGCGAAGTAAATCGTCCGGGAGTGCAGACTCAGCGCTGTTGAATTTTCAACGTGTACGCGGTGTGTATGTTTAATTTAAATCCGTACCGTAACTCTCGGGCAATTATGGTCCGTGCATGTTGGCAAAAGTGTTGCGGTGGAAAAATTGCCTTGCATTTCGTGAAAATGCATTTTTAACCGAGAAAAAGTGATACTGGGCAGGAAACGAGTTCAAGAAATATAAATTGTCATATCATCAGAAGTCGATAATTACGTATAGAAAATGATAAGCTTGCTATTGCAAATTCTTATATCCTTCATTATTATACGAAGAAACATGGATAAATATAATATCAACAAGTAAATCAATTATATGACGATTGTGGATTGTCAATCGTTAACGAGCATAAACTATCAATTTGAATATTTGAATACGAATTCAAGCTGTTGATTAAACTATTGATAGTTGGTAATTGACAGAATATTCTGATACATTAAATTTAGTAATTTTTTATTATTACTTTTCTATTAAATTATTCAACTGTATTTTTGTTCTCTTATGCATTATTCTGATGTTTGTTCTGACGTTCGACATGCGCGTACTACTCGACTGTGTCTTTATTCTCCGCGGATTAAAAAGTTTCCAACGACCTTGTAATTGGTTGGGAATTAAATTTCGCGTTTCGCTGGTTGTGAATTCGCGAGTGCGAGAGTGACCGCGATATACAAAGAGGTAATATAGAGCGTGAGAAAGAGATAGGGAGGGGGGGGAAGAAGGGAGAGAAAGAGGGGGTAGTGAGAGAAAGAGGGGGTAGGGAGAGAGAAAATTCTCGTTTCGCGAGCGTGAAGGCGGATGCTTTTCATGAACGAGCGAAGGTGGCCAGCTTGAAAATTTCATGCAACTACCGAGGCGTCGATTTTCAGAGTTTCTCGCGTAATCTCCGACCTCGAGTCCACTCGTCTACTACGCTCTTGTGAGTGTACCTTTATTTCTCTGTCTTTAATTATTTCTCTCCATGCCTATAGAATCTCGCAACCAGGTTGAATCCCTCTAATTTCCATAAAAGCCAGATAAGGTACTTATATCCAGATAAAGAATTTTAACAATGATCCGTGCAAACATTTTTCAATTATAACTCTTTTTTAAAATAACTATTATTATGACCGTGCTCTTTTTCTTAACCTTTCAACGACCACATACGTAATGAATTTCTGCGAGGCCTCGCGGCTACTACTAAATAATTCAATAAGCCACCGATACCGATCGTCATGGCGTGTCGGTCGCATCGCCATATTATGCAATATGAAACAACCTCGCGATCGATCCATCTGAGTAAAATACTAGTTCGCGAATTTCCGCGATGATCGAACGACATCGGCTAAGATCGGCTTTGAGACCGAACTCGACTAATTGTTAAACTTTTAGGTGAATCTTGCCCAGAGCTACATACTGTACTTTAGGTTAAGATAAATCATTGAATTTCACTTGCCCAAGTGCCACCCCCCGCGCACCCTTATCTACCAGAGAGGCAATAACGTCCTGGTGAAGTGACCAAACGCAAACCGGCCGGAATATGAGGAGGTATAAAAATTGCATTATGCAACCCTTCAACGAGACGCTAGAAAACTAAGTTCAATCGCGCGGTTTGCGAATTGCGAATGGGGCCATCCCTCTGGATTTCCATAGAAATAACTTGTGCATTATATGTCTGGCTTAAGGGTGCATTTTCTCTGTTCGAATAATGGCAAGTATATGTATATCTGTCCTATATTATTAAGCTTCATATTTTATTTCTTCCGATTAAGGGTGGAAAGAATAGAAAGGGAAAAAAGACTTATGTCGCATAACCCTATGGCAGCTTATGTGAAAAAACGTATGCGGAGAAACCAAGTCACTGGGTTAGGAAAGTGGTATTGGGGTCGTATCGGTTAACAGCTTCTAGTCACGCGGGCCACGTTCGCACTGATAAAAGGCCACGTATTTTCTATACTGGCCATATACCGCAGAAGGATGAAATATGTGGTAGGACGTACGATTCCTGCATTTAAATTTAGTTAATTAGCGGAAAAGAGTAAAAGGGTCGCTGTTTCAAATTTTACGTAGTGTCATACTACTTCAACTTATGTGACAGTACCCATAGTAGAGTACGATGATTTTCGATAGGTGGCTCTATCATGGTGAGTTTTCGGTGTTCATTATGGACAATGAAGGTAGTAGTAGGGTACATTAGATTAGTATAGTAGTTAGTACGTAGTATCTATCTCTATGTACTAGTACTACGTCTACGGCCGAGGCATTTAATTACACGGGGAAGTATCGTTACGGACAGATTGCCAACCCGTCGAATAACGTAGTTGTTACGTGGAAACGGTATTTTCGATATACATATACATATACGTATATAGATCCTAGCAATAAGCAGTTCGTTCGGGCCGCCTGACTGGTTGCTGAGTGCTTAGGAAGTTAGTTAAATTTTTCCAATGCGTTTCCTATACATAGCCGTTTTATCTGGATATCGTATTAACTTTTATAGTTACTCGTTCACAATTGTTTTTACACTTTCCAAGTAACGATTTTTTTTATGGATGAGAGACATACGATTTTTATCGACGATATTTAATAACGTTACTGGGTTATTGTTGGAAATGAACATTTGCAAATTTGTTTGATTGAATATAAGGTGTTAAAATAATATCTTGTAAAAAAAATGATTTGTTTTGTTTTTGATTGCTAATTATATTGGTCAATCATTGTTTTGGTAATTATCTGGTAACTATGTTCACGTCCCTCCCGATGAGCACGTCTTTCCGAAAATCCGAAATTTCACGAACCATTCCATCTTTGTTATTCCCATGGGAAGTGGTATAAGGGAGTATTGATCACTCCCACGCTGCACCCTTTTCCACTACCCTACAAGCACCCTCCGGCAGCACCCCCTAGCAACCCCTCCGAATCCTCGGTCCTCTGGCAGCATCCTCTCAGCTGGACCAACTCCAACCCAGCTTTCCTTCCTTCCTTCCTTCCTCATCAATGGATTTCGGGAAACCCCTTGGATTCCACATAGTGGTCCATGCCAATTTCATAAACGCGATTCTCGATTACACAATGTCATATTATTAATATTTCTGAAATAACAAGCTAACCGACAGTCATTCTTTTTGATGATGTTTGACGATGATTCAAGCGATTTATATCGATTGCCATTACGTGTAAACAATTGCACGACCACCATATTCTAGTAACATTAACACGTATGTAATATACTTATATAATTAAGAAAACCACTATAACTAAGAAAACCACGCTTATTTTCCTACTGAAAAATCCGCTTTTGTTTTTTTTTTGTGGTGCGATTATGGGATATTTAAACTGAAAAAAAAGAAAAGTTCTTAAAACGATCGCAGGATATTCTTTATTACAACAAAGGATAAATTCTCGTGAATATGTCTATTTATTATGGAATTTGTATGCCTTTATGAGGATTCTTCGTACAATAAGTTCAATGTGGTTTTTTGACAGATCGAAAACAATAAAGTCTCTAATGAAGAGACATGTATTACTGTGTAAAATTATGTTTGTTTTATTTTTCTATTTTAGTATATATACATATTTATGTTATTTTATGAAAAACCACGTGTTATTTGCTAAGGATTGCATTCCTTGCGAATTGTCTAAAAAGAAACAAATGAAACTTGTGAATCGACTGTATATATATATTTAGCAGATTGTCTATGGTCGATTATTGCAAAATCTTTAAAATAAACAGTAAAGAAGTTTCATTTCACAGAATATTCAATACATATCACGTAGTGAACGATGGACGGAAAAGATTTGGGATCGACACAGAGATATATTGAACTTTTTGTTTCAGTTTCGATCAGAATTTTAATCTCAACAAGAGCGAAAAAGAAGGATGGAAAAGATGACGGATGATTGACCCAAAATATAATTTTCTAAAATTCTATGTATTGATAACTTGGATTACCTTTGATTATATCATGTTGAGTATGAAGTATCTGATTTTACTCGATAACATAACATTATCGTCATGAGCTGAGATATAAAGTCAAGATTCTCGTAATACACACTATGTATCTACTTCCACCGTTCATGAAA